TAAATGTATTAATTCATTTTTAAATAATCCGCAAGTTATTATGCTTTTAAGAATCGAAACGATTGTGCAATGACTACAAACAACATAACATCATCAGGAACAATAGGGATACTAGCTTCAGCATTAACAATTACAACAATATAAGGCAAGCGCGAAGCTTTAATTATTCATAGTATATGCATATTTACAAGTTATAGCTCTTAGCAACATTCTCAAATCATGACAATTTTTATGATAATTCTTATTCACATTGAGAATCTAAAAACAAAAATTTAATGCTACTTTATAAAAATTTAATTCATTTATGCATTCAATACAATGCATATGAAGGATGTGTGAAACATTTAAGATTTCACCCACGCAGCACCATAAACATTTAAAAGGAGTCTACTTCTAACAATACTAAGCCCTTTTTTACATATACTAATTCCGTGATAGCTGCCATGTGTCAGCATGGGTAAGATATGATAGCACCAACCCACCAGTTGTTTCAAATATATTATTGATTGGAATGTTTTTTTCTACACTTTTTTGTGTTTTAAGAGATTAAACCATAATCCAAATAAAACTTTAAGTGTGCTTTATTTACAACTAAATTTAAACCAAGAAAACAGGCTATAATGAACAGTAGTGGATAATTCGATAGAAGAAAAAATGATGTAGAAAGCCCTCTTACGTAAAAAAAAAGACTCCAATAAGTTTAGAATTAAATTTGTTGATTAGTTTAATCTGAGTAGTGATTTGTACAATAGCACTACTCAATTTGAATTGAATAGTGTAATTGTACAAACACTTCCCATTAGAACAGAGGATGGACAAAATAATGGAAACACTTCTATACTAACACATGTTTTGATTTCTCTTAAAAATGCTTAGAGACTCATTTTGCAAAATAATTTCCTAAATTTAAAAATTTGTAAATTTAGGTTATGGAATTTCTCATACTTATCAATGAAGTTTAAAGCATTTAGAGGATTGAGGACGTGACAATAAGTTACAAACGGAGAAAGTGTTTCTGACCACTTTTTGCCAAAAATGAAGCTATAAATTTGCAACCTGTAAGAATTATTTTGATTATTATCTGCAATAAGTGCACAAAATTTCTAAAACCTAGATTAAATATTTATGAAGATATAGACATTTTTGTTAAAAACTGCTCAAGATATGTGCAATTAAAGTGGTTCTTTTATGCTGTGCATGAGCAAGAAGAATTATTTTTATTAATTTTTTAGTGAATGATATTCCGCAGCTATTACAAAATTTGGATTTGGATATGTTAAAAATGAAAAAAGGTCTAAATCAATTTTCTAAGAAGTTTTCGTACTTTTTAAAAATAAATTCAAAATGATAAGGGGCTTTTCTCAAATTTCATTTTAGAAAATGAAACAAGATTTATCAAAAATAACACCGTCGTTGTTGGAAATCATCCCCAATGAAAGAATCTTTTCTTTCGAATATTTCTTTCCTTATATAATCACATTTCGGTGTATGAACGCTTATTGTAACGCATTAGTATTTGTCATTCAATTTTGTTTTACGATTCAAATTAATATTAGTAAGAAGCCCTTTATTACTTTGAGCTTTATATTAAAAAGAACAAAAACTACTTAGAAAATTTCTTGAAGCTTTTAAAATTTTTCAGTTATCTAAATTGGATTTTTTTTCATTAGTTGCCAAATACGATTCTCTACAAAAGTGTGAAGAAAATGCTCCGAAGTTTAAGAGAACTACATTGATTATTTATATATTGCACAGTTTTTCAACAACTTTTTTCAAATTTTAAAGTAAAAATTTGATAACTATTTTTAAATAGCTCTATAAATTCTGTTTAATTTTATTGAATATTTGAAAAGTTATAACAAAAATATTAGATAATTTTTTTTTTTAAATTAAAATTCCATATTTCTATAATTAAGTATTCTTTGCTAATGAAATTTTGTATAATTATTGCATATAATGAACGAAATAATTGGTACACGTCACAAAATTTTTACTACATTTTTAGGCATTGGGTAGCAAAAACATTATTGTCCATTGTAGTTTATTGTAAGTCCCTCAAACTCTTAAAAGATTTAAACTTCATTGATATGTATCAGAAATAGCATGATCTAAATACTATTGAAGTTATTGTTGTTGACGTATGCCTGCAAAGGCAGAGGGGTGCGATTGTTCTTGTTTTCCAATGGCGCCATCTATGGCCAAGAATTTTTGAAATCATTAAATGATTCTTTAAGAATTTCTTGAGACAGGAGAAAAAAATGCATGAGTATAAAAATGTTTACATTATTTTGTCCACCTCCTGTATATAAATGGCTGCATATCCCAAAAGCAGAGCACATGAAAAACCTTGGCATGCGAAAGCTCTGAGATAAAGATAAACTAATGAGGATGTCACGTTTAGCAAACCATGCAAAAAATCCAATACGGACAAGACTATTGAGCAGTCTAACTACGTGCTTGCAAAAACTCTCATGAAGTTGAAATAAAGCTACCGAAAAACATAAATTGGCTAATCCAACCGCAAAAATGCGGATGTACGGAACAGATGGAGTGAGCAGAATTATTCTTCCATGGCAAGTTTAAACTATTCGGGGGAGGATGTAAACCGTGTTGACGAAACCATGTTTGGGATAACACGCAAACAAATGTGACGGTGAATAACATTGCACACTTGGGTCCAATGCTGCTCAAAGTTTGCAACTGAATAGATGTTAGGAATAGAATATGCTTTATGACAGGTTTAAACATTTTTGTTAATTAAAGGAAGCCTGATTGTTTTGTTGAATCTTGTTCATGTTAACGCATCACATTGAATGCATACGACAGAAGCCATTGCGTATCGCCGACAGAGATCGAAGATAGTAGGAACTAAAGAACAGCATATCTGTGATTGTGAGGTCTATTCTGCTCAAAGATTTGAGCATTTAGGGCAGCATATTGTCAATGCCTGGGAACTGCAAGATGTTCCTGTAAGGTGCTTGCTGAATTTTATTTCAGCCATAGGGATTTCATGCTAATCATGATTTTAGGGTTTGGGTACAATAGACCTCTGGTCGATGTGCCCTGCTCGTCAGAGCTGCCCAACCTCTAAGTCTAAGTCTAAAGAACAGCATATGGTCCATCATTCATTAAGATTTAGGTAAGCGCAAAATGTGTTTCCCATTGTGTTACACACATTGAAGGCAATAAACATACATGCTATTGTCGCAGACTGATTAAAAATGTCGGTTAAGGAGATCAGATGGTAGAAGAGCTTGAATTCCAATGACGTGACCCAGGTTCTATTCCCTGAGTTGGCATGCCGATACGAATTCTATTTTATTGTAGGTGGCGGGCAAATGTGTTGAGTGACTGAAATGCTCTCAGTGCTTTAGGGATCATGGTTCATAATCCCCTTGCAGTTGGGATAGCAGCGGGAGATTTCGTAGTTTTTCTTTCCATGTAACGGAAATGCGAGTTAGTTCCATGAATGCCATATTTTTTTCAGAACAAAACCTATAATATTTCCTATAGCTCACGTTAGATGGCACCACTGAATTCTGGTATTTCTATATATTTACTGTAAAAAATTTAAGGTTGGTAATACTACAAAATTGCTGCAGCTTATATAATGCAGTAATTTTGCAGTGTTTCCACTTAAAAAATATTGTAGCGGATTTGGGCCAATTCGCCACAGTCTATTTTTAACTGGGAAACGTGTTTTAAAATGAAATGTAAACTCAATAACAACTAAATACTTCTAAACTATAAGTGGTCAATAAAAAATTAAGTTTATATTTTTTTTTATTTTCAGCTTGTTTTAATTCCATACATTTTGCTAGTTGATACTAGATAAAACAGACTATTAATGAGTGACTGCAATTAAGCTTACATTGCTCGTTTAAATTCACTTGGATTCAATGGCCAGATGAAAAAGGCTTTCTACATCAAAAATTAAGTTAGTATTATTAAGATTTTATAAATTGATTTTAAAACGCATAAAATACTATTAGATACTACTTGATAAATTCTGAAAAGGGAAAAAAAGAAGTTAAAAATAGCAAAATTATTTTTTCTACGTTTCAACCTACTGTAACTAATAGTAATAAGAATTTACTTGTAGTAACAGAGATGATTATGTGCTAATATTTCAGGGTTGATATGTTTTAGTAAAGGAAGATTTTTATTTCAATATTAAATTCTCACACGTGTTTAGATTTCTTCGAAGTGAGCCAGAAAAATTAGAAAATTAGAAAACATAGGTTATTCAAACTTCGTTCCTAGAAACTGAATTGTAATATTTAAAAAATAGTGCAAAAATTTTCAAGAAATCAATAAAAGTTAAAAGTAAATTGTTAAGTTCACACAAAAATTCAACTCGTAAAAAATTAACATTATTTGCATTTATGTACTTGCTTTTCACAGAATAAACAGTAAAATTGTTTTACTTATTGAATTATATTTAATTCAGGTTTTTTTCGCGACTGTAAATTTCTTATCAAACCACCCATAAGACAATAGATTAAATCTTATGCATATTTATTTTCGAAAGATATCATTTTCAAAACAAAATTTGAATCTTTCCCATGCTGTAGTTTACGGGCATTTTCAAAAGCTGTAGAATGGAATACTTCATAACAATTTTTCAAAAATATTTAAATAAAAGATGGACAGACAACAGTTTTATGCTAAGTATTGTACCACGTTTCAGGAATGTTATTTTATGCAATTTCACACACATCTTTTCACGCCACGTCTTCAGTAAAAATGTTGTTTATTTGATGTACACTAGACGTTACTTGACGAATATGAATAAACACTTGATCATGATTATAATGAATTAAAACAAAACATCGTACAAATCGCAAAATGTATATGGAGTGCACAATAAAGTTTAGAATGTTTTGTGTATGTCCAATACTGTTTGTTGCAGTTTATGCATTTTACATAAATATGCTTTCGACAAGTAGGTATTATGTAAAAAATGAGATTATATTTTATACATAATAATGATTCTCATCGCTCACTATATATAATAAAAATAAACGCAACAAATTGAAAAAAAATTCTCCTTTTTTTCCCCTTGATGAAAAATGTCGATCTTTACAAAGTTAATTCATTTACTTGTGAAAAAATTATGGAAAAGTGCTTCGCTGAAAAACATATTTTTAACATTTCGTCGTAAAGTACATGTCGAGGGTAAAATTACCTTTTCAACAAAATTAATGATATTTTAGATGGAGAACACCATTAGTGTTTTTTCAATTTTTTTTTAATTATCTTTTTGAGTAGTGTATCTGAAGCTTGAACCATTTTCCCTTATCAAACCATTACTAAATATAGATAAAACAATTTACGCTCGGTAATAAAAGTCTTGTTTTACGGCGTTATTTCAGATAAAATCAGGAAATGTTTTTTTCCCTCTGAAATCAAACAACAAAGATGTTTATAATGTTAATGTTACTGTTTTTAATGTTTTATGTTAATATATTACATATCATAATGTAGTACTGAAAGATAATAAGAGTATATTGATGAAAATATACGTAAATGTTTTTGGTTCATCAATTATTAATTTACAACATATTATTATTTCCGAAAAAATATTTTACTTTTCAGTATTAAGTAACTTCAGTATGCATTTGACTTTAAATAAATTAAATGAAACAATGATTTTTAGTAAACGTTATAATGCTTTTCAACCTCGTATAAGTGAGGGATTATATTTCTTCCCTGCAACATTCAAGATTTTCGATCTTCCATTTTTAATAAGTTCATTATCATTATTAGCGATTTCTCAAAAACATACAAAAAGTATCATCCAGTATTATTTTCAAATAGTCAATACACTTACTCACAGACCATTCTAACTAATTCCTAAGGAACACATTAGAAGTTTGCTAATAATTTTCTTTTTGAGCATATGAATTCAGGTGAGAGACACAGAGGAATCAAAAAACGATATTTAATGATCACCCAGATTTTTTGATGCGATCAAGGCTTTTCATCCAATACTGATACAATTTTTACTTTGATTGAATCATCACCATTTTGATTGTTTCAAAACCAGAAATCTTCGCAGTTTTCGATTGGGTGCTGATTTGCTGTAGTAATTATCTTTATTATGATTTTTTTTCTTGATTATGTTATCATAATACAGTTTCTATCTCTGCAACGTGAGCTGGCGTAGTACTTGTTTTGATGAAATGTGGGCCGTAGGAATGAAGTGGATGGGTTTTATAACCGGGTTGAGATTCATTACAAATAATCATATTTCTTGTCATATCTCTTGTTTTGAGAGGAACAGAGGAGTTGAATCTATATTCGAATGAAAAAAATTCGATATTTAATAATACATACAAGTTTACTGTAAAACATTCACAAAGATAAAAAAAGAATAAAAAAAGATTGATTATGATTTTGTAATCTAGAGTCTAAGCTAGGAGTCTAGTTAAAAACGCTCACATATTATCGCATTTAATAATATATCGTCTACATATTATTTAAAAAAAATTATCAACTTCTTTTGATACAAAAGAGTTGTCTTTTTTGGGATTATAGCTGCTATATGAGTTTCACCCTCATATGGGTAATGCGTCATTTTTCCTCAATTAATGCACAATTATGATATGATTGAAAAGGGAAAAAGAGAGGAAACCTGAGGCAATAGCATTCTATAACTTCAAATAACATTTATTATTATTATATAAAGGTGATTCCTTATTCAATTAAGAAAATATGTGATGCGTAATTAAAAGTTTTGCATTAAACTGAATATCCCTACAGAACATTCCATTCAAAACATTCAATTATTTTTAGAGGATTAAGCAGGAGTTAGAAGGATTTAACTATGGAAAATAGGTTGTGTTTCAGATAAACCACATGCTCATACTCATTTCAAAGACACGTAACCATCCAGGTTAAAGGGAATTGAAAGCAATTTTATCTACCCGTAAAGGAATCGTGGATGTGAAGTATAGGTCCTTGCTAAACTGTTCTACCGTGAAGTGCTCGACTTTGCGCACAGGATGTGGGGTTTACTGAAGAAGGGAAGCCACCCCCTCTGAAGAGGATCAAAATTGTGATGGAATGTCTCCGAATCATCCTCAGGGATGTTCCCAGACCATCACCAATAGCCCATTGTGCAGATATAGTACGACGGACGCAAACAACAAAAGGCGTTATAAAAGCCTATATAAGCATATATAAAGATTTCCCGACATTGCTCTATTAACAAAAATAAAAGAATAAAAAAAAAATAAGAAATTCTGCCTTGAACTCTCTTGAAAGAAAATTGAATACAAGTTTCCAGAAAGCAGACGAATTTGCTACGGTACCCCAGTTAAGAGCAAAAACTGTAGTTTCAGAAACACTGGATTACACGCTATTACATTGTAATTACGCTGTAATCTAGGCACATTGTTACATCTTTTTTAACTTTGAAAAATTAAAAATAAGTTAAATAAAAAAATAATACGAAGTTTAATATTTAAATAACTAAGCGTTGTATAAAGATAATTTTCAAGAATCGAATATATAGTCTTACTAATTTACAAGAAATGAGATGTTTTTTTTTCCTTCTATATCGTTTTAAGTACTCTGTAATTGCAATTATATTAATTTACTAATTTATTTACGTTGAGTTTGCACATTACATTCTAAATGAAATAAAGTTTCTCAATGAGTTTCGGAAATGAAAGTTAATCTGCAAGTACTCGTTCTTGTCGGAGTTTACTTTAAAAAGTGTTTTTTTCTTACACCATTTATTTACCATTTTATTTATAGTACGCTTACATGTATTACATTCTGAAGTAAGTAAGTTTAGCAATGAATCTCAGAAATTTAAACTAATCTGAAAGAACTTGCAATTTTTGGAATGTACTTCAGAAAGTAATTTTTGTTAGCATAAGCATTTACTTTTTATTTGAATTCAATTCAAAATGAAATTAAATTTTGCAATAAATGTCAAATTTTAAATTTATCTAAAAGTAATAGTTAATTAATACTCAAGTATACTTTCTCGTTATTATTATTTATGCTCGAGATGTACTTTTTTAAAATATCAATAACGTTTTTTGTTTATTTAAGTATTTATTTACTATTAAGCATCATTTATTTAGTATTAAGTATTTATTTATATTACATTTTACGAAAATATGTTTTGCTAAGAAAGTAGAAAATTTAAACAAAACTGCAAGCCAACTTACTCGTTATTTGATGATACAACAGTAATTCCGAGCATATTATTTTTTGCCTGAAGTTCTTGAATTTTCAATTTTGCCATATAGAGATCACGTCGAGTTTTCCTCAATGTTGTATCACAAATGGGATTTTTACATTTATGGTGGACAATCATATCTGTAGCTTCTTGCACTGCTCCACGAAATGATAAAGACTTTCCCATACTCTGAAAAAAGATATATTTTTCAGACTCATTCATTTCCATATTGTTCTGGTTCTCACTAGCATAAAAATAATAAAAGTCATAAAAGTATTGTTTTTCTATAGATATTTTTTTAGTTTGTTTTGATACACATATAATTTAATAGGGTAGTATTTTTTATTTTCAAATTTAGTGGATAACAATTGTAAAAAATGAGTGAAAACAATCCCACGGACAATGCGACGGATTTAAGGTTATGTCAAGGTACGTCTCTTGTGAATATCAATTGATTGTTAGGTTTTCTCTTCTGAAATTACATTATGACGCATTCACATACATTATTAATACAAATACATTTTCCAGGGCGAGACGATGAGGCAACCACAAGCACTTCCACTGGTTCAAGAGGTCCACGAGGGAAAAATGCACAATATTACCGTGATTACAGAGCACGGAAGCGAGCGGAGCAGGAAAAAGAGTCGTTGAATAGAACTAGTGATCCTTCTACGACTGCTGATTCTTCTACAATTAACGTCGCAGGTTGCGAAGTTTAACTTCTTCCGCGCGGAGGGACTCCACGCACTATTTTTTTTCGTAAAATGCATTTTTACCAGAACATGTTATGGGACAAAAAAAAACAGCTATACCATAATTCTTACACTAATAATTACCGTAAAATCACTGAAAAACTCTAACTAAATTAGTTTTACACTAAAAATTACTTTTTAATTTTTTACGATTGAAATGGATTTCATGGCATATGCACCCAAAGTGCCTGTTCTTCACATCATAATTTGATCCGAATTTTTTTAAAGGGTTGATTACAAGGTTGCAGGATACTCAAATCGGGTAATATAAAAGGATGGAATGTTCACAAAAAAAATTATGCCAATATAAATCCCAGTTCTTGCAATAATTAGGTAAAGTTTTAGCCCTTCAGTAAACTAAGAAAAAAATATTGCACGTTTGTCTGGTTTAAGAGTTTCTTTTTATCATTACCTATTTCCTCTGAATCAGTTTCTATCAGTATAAACAATATTGAAAGCGTAGTTAAAAACAGGCAAATGTACAGTAATTCAAGCGTCTTGTTCATAAATTGTCTGGAAAAAATTCTAATAATCCTTCAATCAAGGCATTTATGAAACTTCATCTTTTTTAAAACGTATTAACTGCTTACTGATGTTGTATGGTTAAAAAGAGTTTAGGAACATAATACTCCAAGAAAACGAATATGAATTTTTTTATACATATAACCCAAAATGACGAATGCAACCAGCTCTTTAAATTATGAATATTGTAAAGCATGTGTCGAAAAAAATCTGATAAACTTACCGCATTATAGTATTGTTTTGTAATGACATTCTAATAAAAAAAACTATTTTGATTATTAAAAACAAAAATATCCAGTATTTAAACCATTCAATTGGTACTTTTTCTGTTCGTATAAAAAGGCTTACCGGAAAGTTTGGTTTTCAAAATTATAGTTATTATTACCACACATTTAATAAAAAATAAAAAATAAAAACTGAAAATTAAATTTAAACAAATAAATGGTTTTTATGCAAATCACAAAGGTATCAAGATAACATTATAAAATTAAAAAATTTTCTATCAAATTTTATATATATATATATNGTTATATATATATGTATGTATTTTATATATAACCAAAGCTCTTCAAAAAAATTACCGAGCTTTTTGGGGTTATCATAGTTATTATCATATACAATCCATTTTATCATATTCTGGTAGTTCTTACCATACTTCTTTCCTCCGCACAGATGCGCAAAAAAACTGCTTTATGAAGGTCAAAATGCGCATGTATTGATGAATGCAGTTAATAACTAACAATTACGAAACTTAATATTACATATGCACAAGATACAAATAAAGAGAAAATAACTTAGAAAACGTTATTTATAAGAATATTTGCTAACACTTGAGTTATTCTTTTCACTTATACATTTATAGTTTCTTATTTGTGCATAACTCATAATTACATTTATAGCGAATATGTATGAGTAACTTTTATATTTTTAGAGATAGAGAATTTTTTTTTTTGTAAAATAAGAATAAATGCTTAGAGTTAATTATTTCTTAATTTTTCAGAACAAGTATATGTTTTAATGACTTACCAGACTAATAAGCGTCAGAAAACCTCCTTTGTCTGTCTTTTCTAGATGTTTACGAATATACTTGAAATAAATATGTTCCAGTAATAATACCATTATTGTGAACAGAACTCCACATCCGAGTAAGAGGAACGCACTCATAAACTGGTTTACGTCGAGTGGTTTGCTAACATTCCTCTTTTTGTGTTTTGGCTTGCAAGCTCCTTGCAACCAGAAGCGCTGTAATCTCTCGAGATCACCTAATAATACAAAATTTAAAAATGTCATTTTCATTTAGTTAGATCGAATTGTTAAAAGCGGATAAAATTAAGTGCAATTATTCGTGGATACAATGAAATTAAATTTACAACATTTATGTAAATAAAAATAAATTATTCGCTGCAAACCCGCAAAGTGTTTTTCGTTTGCATACTTTAAAACGACATTTCATAACGAAACATTGTTTATCAAAATGATATTTCGTACTTCAATATCTTGCTTCTACCATTTTCTTACATTTGACCTGCCCTAAATACACTGTAAAAAATTTCGGATTAAATTAGGATAAAAAGAACCGGCACTTCTTACCATAAACTCAATTTTTACCGAACATGTTATGGAACAAAAAAAATCTGATATACCATAATTTTTACAGTGATAAATACCATAAATCACTGAATCAGTCTAATTAAATAAATGTTACTGTAAAAATGACGGTTGAATATATTACAAAAAATTCGGATTTTACGGAAGATACACCCAAAGTGTCGGTACTCTTTTGCTGAGAACGAATATTTTTATTGAGACTTCAAACTATAAATAAATAAAAATTAGGTAATGTCTTGGATCACGTCTTTCGAACTTTATTTTCAATACTAGTTGTCAACCAAAATCAATTTATTTTGTTCCGCAAGAATATACATATTTATTTAAATTCTGTATACCTCTACAAAAAAGTTGCATTAAATTATAAGTAAAACATAGCTAATACAATTTTCTGCTGGGGCTAGGCGAGCGGTCTTGTTGATTCGCCAAACGCTCTGTACCATGGATGTAGTTGGCTAGAATCCCGATATAACTTTGTGATGTCTTTTTCTAACTTCTGCTATATGTTCTTCCATTAACCAATGACTTATAAGCTATCTTTGTAATGAGCTCATAAGTCTGCATATGTATGTGTAACAATAAATAAATATTTTTGCAATGTTTGAAACAATAAAAATGTGAAGCGAATAGCGATATAATACAAATAGCGATTAGCGAATAAATATTAAAACAAATAATTAGACTATAAATAACAGAAAATAAATAATTATCAGTTACGTAATGAAGGTGACATGTATCGCATGGAAATATTTTAGTGCATTGCAATTCAAAGATATGAGTGATATTCTTCTTAACTTTAAATGAACTTTCGAAATCTTTTCCATCAATAATATAAAACTGGGAAGATAGAACTTTCTGAAAACCTAGACAGACTGACAGAGTCAGTCTGGTCCTTCCAAGATTGTTTGAGTATAGATCAATTAAACATCCAAAATCACAAATTTATTCATGATAAATTTAATAAGAAATATATTAGGGCCTTGGCCTTAAAAATTCTATGTTATTTTATTCGATTTGATTAACGAAAATATTTAAATAACGGGACGCTGACTTTTCCATAATACTTATACATTAGTTAGTTAGATAATTGAGTTTCCTTTTCCATATGAATAATAATTAAGGATATTCAGAAATATTCTTTCTTAAATTAGACTTGGGTACTTTATACCTACTAAAGGGTACTTTATATTCAAATCTACCTGGAGGTTTTGGATACCTACCATTATAACTAATGGGCCACTCTGGTCTTTCCTGTCATTCTAGGCCTAAGGTTTTTCATATAATTTTTTGTAAGGTTAGTACATGAATGATTGAATAGGCTCTTAAATTGAATTAAATTATAGAAAATCCTTATACTCAAAATAATTTTAGTGAGTTATCGCTTAATTATATAGCAATAAAAAAACGAGAGGGGTCATTATGGCCTAAGTGTTCGTTAATCTCAACTAAAATATTTCATCGGTAAGCAAGATATGTTATGTTATCAAATTTTTCTCTCTTTTTTAATAACAACCATGAGAATAAAATAAAAATTTACCGTTCTCTCTATACTGAATCATAGCTTTGTTGAACATATTAAGGTATTTTGAATTTTTTGAAAGGGCGAATCCATAACCAGTCATGGCATACCAGCTTCCAACAGTCAACAATCGACATTCATTATCTTGACCTGCTAAATATTCAAGCACGGTAGCATCGTATATAAACGCATCCAGATCCCTAAAAACAATATAAAAAAATATCAGCTATATCAGGGTGACTTAGTTGTTATAAAATTCATGTTTGTTAGTGCATTCCTTCTTCAATGTATTTTGTTATATTTTTTACTTTCTTATGTTTTATTTGTATTTCCTGGAATTTTCAATCTGGTTTTTCATATTAGTTTGCATTTGCTTTTGACATTTATTTCTATAAAAAAAAATCCTTTGACTTTTAATTAATCAAAATTTACTGGACCCAAGCATCTACCAAACTTGTTCAGAAAATCTGCTTAAAATAGGAAATAAGTTTATAGTAATTAAATTAAAAGAGAATAGTCTGTTGAAAAAAATTTAAAAAACAATGAAAATAAAATTATAGTATTAAAATTAATTACTTTACTACTTTTATTTAATTAGACGAAGTTTCATAACTAAAATCTGCAAATCTGTTTTCAATTTAGTATTTTACACTCGTTTTGCTTTCCAAAACTTACCATTGTGCAACAATTTTTTCAACTCTTGATGCGATGTCATGCAAAATATTGGGATAGGACAAAATTGTGAACAATGCTGCATTAATTTTATGAAAATGGTTTCTATAGACCCAGATTTGATTTTGAAAATTTTGAGAAATTGTGATGAAAGTTATTATAAATGATTTATTTTCAACCCATTCAAAATTTGTATTAACCAATAAGAATAGAAGAGTTAACAAACGTTTTTTATTTATTTTAATACCAATAATTTCAAAATTCTTTTTCTGTAAGTTGTGATATTTATACGAAGTGTAATTTTAGATTTATTGCAAGATTAATAATGTAAAGCAAAGTTCAGGTTTCCACGCCCACCCTGATCGATACAAAATTGACACTATTTGCAAAAGCATTGTTTACAATCTTTAATGGGGACATATAGTTTTGTTATGCAAAGGCTTCAATAACAGGTATTAAGAAGATATACTATATAATTCTCAAGGCTATTTTGACACATTTTTGCTAAATTTTGCGAAACCCATTTCAATTAAAAAAGATATGATGATAATTTACTAATAATTTGTTATAAAAATCTTTAATCTGTTTATCAAATTGTTTTGTATTAATCTTTCTAAACCCTTCATTAGCATGAGCAATTGTGTGTTATAAACTGAACTAACCCAAAGCAAGCTTCTTAAAATAAGTGAAAGAATAGTTATTTTTCTTCCAAAAATATTAGAGAGAAAAATTATACAACATAAATAAACAAACTAGGCAAGAAACAACAAAGTCGCCAAACTTTTGCTACTGCATTTTAGCATGATATTTAAAAATACTTATGTATTAATAATGAATAATTTCATAGCCATACCATAGCCATTTTAAAACCATGATGTCATGATCTTATGTATCATGATATTATGGTTTTCTTGTGTACTTATTCAGTTGTATTGCTGATAATATAGATTTAAAAGCTATAGTTTGGGTTTTAAAATTAATAAAATGGAATAATCGGGATAAATATAATGTCTTAAGGAAGAGAAGAACTTTAAAAGAAGTTCATTTAGATAATAAGTAAAACAATTGTATTTCCAAAAAGTGTAAAATTAACTTACCAGTGAAATGTATAAAATTCTTCTTTAACAAATATTTCTGTGCAACCAAATGAGACACAATAAAGTACCGTGTGTCAAGATTTCTGGCATTAATATCCCAGCGTAAATTTTCTCCCATTGAAATAACATGGAGACGCGGAATGTTGAAAATACTCTACTCTTTTTTCGCCCTACAGTCATGTGGTTTCAGTATGAGGACGAATATTATAGTGGTGTGCACGCTGTATTAAATTTGATCGCTATGTGAGACACTCCTCATTCCTCTACTTCATACACTTTAACAGTTTCTTCAAACAAATGTGTGTTTCTGATTTATTCTGTATGTAATTGAATTAATAGTTAAAACTGACTTTCATTAAATATAATACCTGGCATGATCAGGAACTTAATGAAATACTTACCCTTTCTTAACTGCTGCCACTCCTTTTAAAACAGTTGTTCTGTTGAACTTTCTCATCCATGTAAAAAGGTGGGGTTTATTCTTTTTGATGATAGCCTCAGTGTTACCATAAGGAATTGTTCCATAACGGAATGGGGGCTCGATGAGACGAGGATTGGCAAGCTGAAATATGGCATACATTTCAATTTATTTTACTGCCACCATGCTTCAGATATTAAACTTAATATACACAGTAATATCTCGTCAATTGCATGGTTTTAAAAAGAATGGGAGATATAACAAATAACAAGTGAGCATAAGGAAAATTCTTCATTATCAGGGGCACCAACATGTGATGAGATGCTTTGTAAGTGGAAGCCTTGAGTTTTGGTGAGTTACTTCAAAATTCTTCAGCATGCATTCCTTTGACATGCTTTATGAAAAAGATGCTTTTTTCTTATGTATGACTTGCTTTATGTGGCAACAATTCACGCTTTTTTCCAGATAAATTTTTTTTCAAAAGAACTTTTTAAAAGCTTCCAGAATGCTGGCAAAATTTGAAACATATTTTGCATGTTTTCAAAAGTTTATGATTTATTTCTCAATTATTGAGAACATAGGCAGCCTACGACTTAAACTAAGAACACTATGTCCTAAAATGAGAGAAAACTGACAGCTATAGACTTTTGCAGCACTAAAAAAATACTTACCCTCTTATCGTCGATCCCTGTTAAGTCATAATACTCTTCTCTGGTTATCATAAAGGCAGCCAAATTGGCAGTATAAATGGCAAGAAATACAACAGCAAACATTGCCCAAACACTTGACATAAATCTTGCCGTGTATCCCCTAGGGCAATCGACATTAACAGCAGCTCCGAATAAAATAGCCCAGACTAGCCAGTATGTCCGAAACAATGAAAACTTGTGTTCTGAAATTAAAAACTTTACAGTTATTTGCGATTAAATAATCTGTGTTTACACATTTTCTTCAGTTTTATTTGAATCATGTGAAGAGATGGTATTAATAATTTTAGTAACATTTAGATACTCCTGAACAAGTAGCACAAATAAAAACAGCCAATTATTCGTAATTAAACAATATTTCATACGTTTGAAATTAAAGCAATAAATCGTATTTTACACAAGATCTATGTCTTGTTCTCTACAGATGGAGACTCGATGTAGAAAATTAATTTTCTAAGCTTAAATCGCTATTAAAATGTATAGATTTTTTTTCATAAAAGATCAAATTTGATGTAGTTTTGTGGCGATCGAATCTTTAGTGAAAATCTAAGAGAATCGAATTTAGGGCATACTCTAAAGATTTAGTTTATTGTTAAAACCTTAATTTGCTTACACTGAAGATTTAATTTTCCAAAATTTCATGAAAACTGTAAGTACTTTATAGTTTAAACTAGAAATAAATTTCATAATAAAAATCTAGTTGAAGTTATAGATCAACCCATCCTGTGGTTATTTTAATGTTTGAGGAAAATATTTGGCAAAATTTGACATGGGGTGTATTTAAGTGAATGCAGTAATCAATATTAATTGTATTTATGAGGTGCACAGCAAAATATAGACTGATTTGAAAATTAAAGCTGGGGAAAAAAGGAAGACAGAATGAAACAAACAGTTTTATTTAATTGTGAAAGCTGTTAAAATTTTATACAATATTCGACAGTATTTTAAAAATGTTATTCATTATTCGACTTTTTTTGAAGAATGCAAATGTCATAAGACATTAATCTAACCTGTGTTATTCCAGTTCCAGAAACATACTTTGTTCAATTGAATACATGGTTTAAACCTACCTCACTATCCGGTATGACAATTTCTTTGATTTCTCTGGTTATGCATATCTCACAACACCACCTTTTTGGCAACTTATGTAACTAGATTCAAACAATTATGTACATAATTTTTACAACTTTCACAATAAACATACTCATCATCCTATTTTTTCCTACATAATCCTTTACTTTCGAGATTTTTACTTTTGAATTCAATCTCTGTAGCATATCCTGTACGAATTAATTCAAATTACATAAGATATGCTTATTTTCTTTCTATTTACTCGAAAATAATTTTTTTTTAAATCCTAAAAGCTTATCTTCTTAACCTGATTTGTATTATAGTTTTGATTTATTATTGATATATTACATGATAATTTGATCTTCAAAGGACAGAGTTAAACACAATGAAATATTACAAAGTTTATGATGATAAAATATTACAAAGTTTAAATGATTCAGAAATACTTTTTATAAATTTATATTTTGAAAAACTCTCTCCTGTAAATGAATAGATTTATAAAACTATTTTAAGAAAAACAGAAAAGTTAGTAAGAAATGAAATTGTTAAATATGAAATGCAGTAAAACATACTTCGTGTGAAGGATTACCTATAGAATATATTTATTTTTATCTATGGTATTTTCATTCAGTTCAAATCAGAGAAAAATGTTGCTCTTACTTTAGGTTTGAAGGTGGATGATGTTTTTCATTTAAAATAAATCCAGTTCTTATGGAACCGAGACATAGAAAATAAATATTCAAAATCCTAGACCTTTAAAATAACTGATTTCAAAACTGACATCTTTTAGTTGGATATGGTTTTATATTTAGTGAATACAAATCAAAACTGATGTGAAAACTGTACATTAAAAGCATTTTTATACTCTTGCCATATTTTCAATTTGTAATAAAAATAGGCGTTAAAACCACTTAAGCAACCTTCCTTATTTAAGTCACCAAAAAAGATTAGATAATACCTGTGGCATTAATAACAATGAACAATATAAGACGAACTTATGAACAAAAATATAAACATCAACTAATACGTTCACAAACACTTCTTTTTTTGTTAGAATAGCAATAGCCTAAATGTAGCAATACATTTCTATGAAACAAAAGAGCGTCAAAGCTTATTTTGCTCTACTGAACAAAGCATACTAATTACTAACAAAAGCGGTTTAATATTTTGTTTCAGAAGAAAATTTGTTTTAATTTTACCTCTAAGATCGTAAGGAAAAAGACCGTAAAAACAGGTTTTTTGTTATTAATAGAAGGAATATTTTCATTTCAAAATTTTCGTGAACAATTATTTTCAAGAGGAACTAAAAACACAAGATAATCTTTGATCGAAAATAAACGGTAGTGGGCAAAATAAAATGTTGTTATAATTTTAATACTATAGATAAATGAAATGAAGTTAAAAACAGTATGTAATTGCTTTTTACATCGTCAAATTGCTTTTTTATTTTGGCTAAAGAGGTATAGATAAATTTAATTAAAAGAGCTTATTTAAAATCCATTACTTTTATGAATGTAATACATATTGTATTAAAATATTAAACTAAAATATAATGTAATACAAGTTATTTTAAATTGCTTATAAAATTAAAGTGATATTTATAACCGAAAATTGTTATATCAAATGCAAAAAACCCTCCGTTATTTCATGGACGTTTAAAATATAAAACAGCTACATAACTTAATCTTTTATTGCGATACCTAAGTTAAAACATCTATATGAGTAGTGCTTTAGTCTTTTTTAAGATTTCTTTTTAATTTTCCCATATTCACTACACACATAAACACATTCATGACAGATTCCTGTTACAACCATGCAATGCGGTTTGTTACAAAAGCAAATCATAAAGCAGCCAAAAAATCTGCCAAAAAAGCACACATTTATTCGTAAGCACCAAAAACATACCTGGTCCATTCTCATCTTCTGTTATCCGAAGAGCAAAGAAGAATGCAAGTAACAGAGAAATAAATGATAATCATGGTTGAAAGGAAATAAAGTAAAGAAAGAAAACAAAATTGAAGGAGGATAGTGCTGAAAAAATAAGTGCTAGAGATAAAGGTTGAAAAATGCTATTATATTAAAGACATGTGTGTGTTCAGTGCTTTAAATTTGATCGAAAATAAATAATTAAAAAAATCATTCGTGAAAATTTACTTCTATATCTAAATAACAATGCAGTGAAAACATTGTTAGAAATAGCGTAAAACGTGCTAAAATAATAATAAGTCAATGTTGATAAAATCTGCCATTTGATTTTTTTTAAATACGTGCTATTTCCGAACAACATCTATCCAATAAAATGTTATAAACTGTTATTATTGCTAATATATTTTAAGTTGGATATAGTTCGTAACATACAAAAAGAAAATTTGCGACTTGCGTTAATTTTTGCATCCTTCTGAACAATAAAATTGTAAACCTGTTAAAAATTCATTTAAAATCTGTGAACAACCAGCGTTGAAATTACTTTTTACATAAATTAAATTTAAAAAATTATTTAGTTAGTGGTCATTAAGCCGTTGACCTCGAAATGGAGGAGACTTGACCGAAATCTCGCTGTTGTGGGAGTATTTGCGTTACATTTAATTTATAATTTCAGACATATGTTTGGAATGGAATTATATGAAGGTTTCATTTTGATTATCAAGGAAATATTTCTGGGATGTTATCTTTGAAATATTTCTGGGATGTTATGTTTGAGTTATTATTTTTTCCTTATTCCTCAGATGAATTTCTAAAAATATTTATTAGATATTTCAAAAATACTTCAAGTAAATCAGAAAAAATTCAAAAATATTTCAGTAGTCGTTGAAGAGGGCTTCAATATCTATATTTAAATGTCTAAATAATCGTGTAGATCTAACTGTATCTGAAACGTAAATTTAACCATTTTTGCTCTAAACAAATACGCTACAGTTAGGAAACCATCCATAAAATAGCATAAAAATATCTGTCAAGGAAATTATTTCAAAAACATTTATATTTAAATTATTTAAAAAAAAATTGTTTTTTAATAAAATAAATTATTTTGCAAAAGAGCAAAGTATTGTAAATAAACGAATCTTATTACATACAGCACTTCATTAACCAAGATACTTACATTAATGAGACAGGAGAAAATAAAAACATAAATAGAGGATTAGTAATTATATTTTATATACAGTGCACCAAAAACATGCAACCTTAAATAACTTATGATTCAGTAATCGGATCTTCACGTTTTAAGACTCAATCTTAAGGGTTTGACCTCTTATATACTAATTACTTAGCTTGGACGATATTTTAAATTATGAAATCAGAGATAAAAATGTACTTTCTTTGATTAAAATACCTTTTTTTAATGGATTTGGACTCCCGAAATTTACGGGGTAGCTCCTTAACGGAAAATATGGTCCCATAGTTCGGTCAGAAGATCGATCCGAAGTTTGGACTCCTTAATGTTAATTTTACTTTTGCGTATTTCGCTTAATCTCGAGATTTTTATAAGCGAACTGAAAAGTTTTTACTCACAACTATGACAATTCCCTTATCGAAAAATAATTCCATACAAAAACTAAATTTTAGTAAATGTTTAAAATTTTTTCTTAAATAATAGTAGAAAAAAATTTGAATTGCATGGTGTACAATTTTTTATGTTATTTTAAAGTATATAATTTTCATGTTAAAATGTAAAATTTGAAAGAAATTGGTAGAATAACTGATTTTGCTCACTTTTTGTATTTTGCCACGTAAAATTACATATTTTTAAAATTTAAGTAAAAAATTATTAAGTCATTAAAGAATTAAGTCATTAAAAAGTCATTTATTAGTCATTAAAGTAAAAAATTGTATACCTATCGCTTAAATATTTTTTTTCTTTTAAGTAAAATAAAATAAAAAAATAATTAAGAAATATAAATTTTGTTTTTTACATGGAATCATTTTTGGATAAACAAAGTTTATAATTGTGGGCAAAACTTCTTCCCTTGCTTAAAAAGTTTTCGAGATATGGTGAAATATGTAAAAAGTAGAATTAGCATTAAGAGATCCAAACTTTGGACCGTTCTCTTGACCAAACTATGGGGACGATATTTCTCTGTTAGCGGTTACCCCTTATATTTTGGGAGTCGAAAATTTGAATTCATTGAAAAAAGATTTATGTTTGTTCCGAGAATGTAAATTTTTGTGTCTGATTTCGTAACTTAAAATATTCACTGATCTAATTTATTAGTATATCCGGGCTCACCCCCTCGAGACCACCATTAAGAATGAGTCCTAGAACGTGACGATCAAATTATTATTTCAAAAGTAATTCAGCGTGGGTCGTTTTTCTTTTTTGACACACTATATATTATCATCATAAATATTAAGTTTTGCATTGGCGTTATGTTTTTCTAATATATTAGAATTATATTTGGTACATTATATCTTAAGATTTAAATTAATTAATTAAAAAATACTATCATTAATAAAGTATGAGGGATTAAAATTATCATAGCTGATTTGTATTTGCAGTAAATTATTTTAGTTGCTTAGTTTACTGTAATTTTAAAATGAGCATTTTTAAAAATGTTTCCTGAAATAGTTATCATTAGACATCCTTAACTTTTTTTTTTAAAGAATTCAATTTTATGATAGATATTGTTATTTTATATAACTATTGGATTTTGAAACTGAACAATATTTTTTTAATATCTTGCTTAAAATTTAGTAAAACTTAATATAATATCCAAACTTTGATATTTTATTAGAAAAAAATACAATATTAAAATACAAAGAAGAAGAAAAAAACGATTTCATCATGCATGCTTTGGTTCACAACATCTTAAACAAAATTATATAACTAGAGAATTAATTTTGATCACTTAGTTGAAAATGTTATCAAAGAAAAAATATTTTTTTATTGATACTAATATTTAAATAATCTTGATTTATTTTATGTATTATACTAAATCTCTAGTATCTTCTCACTGAAATGAAAAATTTCAATTCCTTCCCAACATTTGGAAAAAAAATATATAAACGTCTATAGTATTTTTCATATTTTTACACTTTTGTTAAATTTCTAAAAAATATTATTCATATTTTTTTAAAAATAAATAATTCAAATAAAGATTTACCTCTTGGGGGTGCCATTTTCATGTCATATCCATAAGGACTTAACCATTCAAAGAGAAATATTGCTAAAGCTGCTCCTTGAATGCATACTAGTAAAATCATAAGCCATGAAAATGTATCAAAAGGTTCTAGAAAAAAAAGTTATAGTTAAAGGCAAAAAGCACAGGGTTATGTCAAATTTCTAAGAAAGAAGTATTTCAGTATGTTATAGACTGGTTTGAATTATCCAATTTGAATTGTACAAATTTTTACTACTACTTGGATGTATAGAAGTAAAATCTGATACGTAATAGATAAAATGCCACAGCTTAACAGAAGAAAAAAAATAAAATGAAGTTTATATTTATTTGAGCAAAATAAACTATTATTAAATGCCTGATCTTTGATGATGTTGTTGTTTCCAATCCTTCACAATATAGCCTCAGCTATATCAAATCCACGAGTCCAAACGCTCTGGCAAAGTCACACACCGAAATTTGTGGCAAGAGAATGTCCTCTAAGGAAAATTCCTGGCAATTGAGGATGTGTTCGGGGGATGTGTTCTGGTTTCAAGTTGTACTTGCTATACACGTTGGGAAGACTTTGCCCCCTAATTTAAAATTTAAGCATTTTAACTGGACACTGATAAATCACGAAACTCCCGTTTGATCCCATCTATCTCATTGAAACTCCGGAGAACCACCAGGGTTTTTTCTGCCAAACCAGTGGTGAACGGGAGTGGTTATCCATAGCTGCCTGTCGCAGCTTTTCTTCAGGGAGAAAATCTTTTGATACGTAATGAGGTAGTCGCATAATGCAACCACAGTGATGCCACGTTTAGATAGGCTTCCTGCGACTTCATTATCAGGAACACCAACATGTGATGGGATGCTTTGTAAGTGGATGCCTAGAGTTTTGCTGAGTTGTTTCAATTTGCCGATTATTTCAGTGACCATATGGTCAGTTACTCGATTCCAGTAATGTAAGTATTGTAATTCTTTACGATACTTACATTACCTCGATTGCCAGTGACACTGCGATTGCCAGTGTGAGGATCCAGATGTTGCCAGAAGCATTCAATTCAAGAATAGATTTTAAAGCTTCATGAATGGCTATTAGTTCGCTTGTGAATTCCAAGCAATTATCTTGATTTCGTCTTAAAAAAAATAGAATGACTTCCAATAAAAATGCCACTTCCAGGGTGATTTAATTCCTTTTTACTGCCATCGGTATAAACGTTAACTGAATCCCTTGGGGTGATTCAGTAACTCTTTAATATCTGATTTTTGTGCAAAATACATTTCAAACGAAAACCGGAGCTTCAAAAACGAATGGAATTCTTATAGGACCTAAGGGCTTTGGAGCCTTACCATTTTCTATCTGGACTTTAATTTACTGTTCAAATTAGTTATAAGTAGTGTTGTAAAAAATTTATTTTAAATCTAGTTCGGTAAAATATCAATGCGCCATCTTTCTGCCATTGCAAAATTATTTTCTAAGAATACAAAAGATACATTGTAGAATTCTTCTGAAAACTACAAAAATTTCCATGATACTAGTAGAACGTGTTACCAAAATTAATATAACATATGGTGATTTTCTACGTTTCCAGCAGACGAATTTTCCGCTAACCTTTTCTCTATTAACTTTGCTTTTTAGCATCTAGGTTATTTTTTATTTCAATTATTATATATTACTAATACTAATTAAGCATTGGTATCATTAATATTATGGTAATATTTTATTGATCCCCAAATCGAATAAATTGTTTTCTTCGTTAAGTTTGCTATTTAGAACATGCTATTTCAGTAGATATTATCAACAAAGTTTACCTTACAATATTTAACGTAATATCTCTTATCAGGTTGAAGACGTTACAAAGATATTCAGACAGTTGGCCTTAGAAATAATAAATGAGATCCCCGACAATGCCATAAAAATTTTTTACGGATGGCAGTAAACTGAACGACCACGCAGGTAGCTGCATTTACAACGAGAAACCGGGGGGAAAACTGTCTATCTGCCTCCACAACCCTGACTTCTCATCGGTCTTCAAGAGTGAATTAATAGCAATTGAACAATGCCTTGAAGCTGTTCTCAATGAAAATAACTTCGGGGACCTCTGGATCCTTTCGGACAGTCGCAGCTCTCTCCAACACCTCCACAACTGGATTGCAATAGGAGATCAAACTAGTATTTCTATTCTTTTTAAACTTAAGCTCATTTCGAAATTCCACGATGTTTATTTTCAGTGGATCCCATCTCATGTAGATCCATCCCATCCATCCCATAGTGGATCCTTCCTATAGTGGATCCATCCCATCAATACGGCAATGAGCAGGCGGACAGACTGATCAAGGAGGGCTGTTGCCACGATAATCTTTCCTCTTCAGCTCTTACCTTCCTAGAACATCAATCCATAGTTAATTCTGAAATTTCGAAGGGGTGGAAGATTCCTCCTTGCCATCACTGGAATGCGGGCAAAGAGTCAGGTTCTTCATTCACCCTCAATTGTGACATAGCTTCTAAAACCGCAATTTCCAGATTAGCAAGCGGTCACACGAAAAGTCTCTTGTTTTTTGAAGGCAGGAGAAGCTTCGAGTTCGGCCCCAACTGTGAAACTGAGCAGGCTTCTCCCGAACACACTCTGAACTCTTTGGGATTTTCCAAAGAGGAAGTATACTTATTTCCCCTTCTGGTCCTCGATTTTCTTAGGGTCAATGGTCTGATTTACTTTGTCTGACTTCCTCAGGAATTGGAGGATAATCTACAACGACAACAACAACAAAGATACATCCGAGAGTACGACGAGATTCAAACCCGATAACTCTATGCTATAATCCATGCATCCTTGTAGCGTTCTTCTCTAACGTGTGCTATTTTTCATTAATTGTTCTTAATTAGTTAACTTTTTCTTAATTGCTGGTTTTACAGGGGCTTTTCTGGTCAAGGAGTATCCACTTTCAGTCAAAAACGGCAAAAAGTCGGCTCGAATCCCACCGTCATTCTAAATCTGTAACAATTAAAAAATAAATTTGATTTATAGGCATATATAGGCTTGTTGAGCTTAATACAAAAATTGCTGCCTGTTTTTAAATCAAAGAACGGATAGAGTTGAAATAGGAAAGACAACTGAGAAGAATTAAATCAGCTACCCCTGTGAGCATTTGGCGGAAGATATCCCACGACTATAAGATATGCTTGCTTTCTTCGCAATAAATTCTACGTGTCTTCTCTGCTATGCTGTATCGCTGCTCCGCTAACTGCTTTGAAGCGTTGAAGTAGTGGGATTAAATCCTGCTATAACACTTGATGTATATTTTTGCCGTCTTTATCAAATTTGAGCCATTGAAAAGAGTCTTTAAGTCATTTTTTTGCATTTACAAAGAAGTTCACTAATGTACGTGAATAAATGAACAAACCTCACTACCCCTATATAAGATCGATGAAACAGTCACCGTAGTTTTATAAATCTGAGTTAAGTACCTTTAAATGATTTTGATGAAACGTTTGGAGCCATCATTCGTGTCCTTTTTTCCCTTTCAATTTTTGAGAAATATATCAGAAAAGAAAATAATTATCCTTCATTTAATTCCCACTATCTATTTAAATAAGCAGTCATTTTTAATTCAGCGTAGAAGTGTAAACGTATTATTACTGATATATTTGTTAAAGAACATAGATATCAAAAAGTTAAAATTACAAAATAAATGATAAATCGAAAGATTGTTCTGATTCACATGCAATTTTTTCCTGATAACTAAAAGCATGGTATAAAACTATTTATTTGGTTAAATTTACTATCCAGTTATGCATTTTTACGAAGTGTGAGGAAATAGTGGTGCTGAAAATCAGAATATTTGATAAACCGTTAGTATAACGCACGGAACAATTGCCGAAACTTAACTATTTTAAGATATATAAAATTCAAAAATAAAAACAAACTTTTTTTAACTTTCATATCTGTATTTAATACAACATGAGGAGAGTACGTTAGAAAGTAATGTTTTGTGTTTAATAACTTAGATATGAGACTATTTTTTACTACGCATTTATTATTGCTTCAATTTATTAATTATATTTCATTAATTACTTTTTTATTAATTTTCTGTCAGTTATTTTGTAAATTATTTTTATAAATCATTCATAATTCCTTTCACTGACATTTGTTTAAAATATTAATATTGTAACAATTAGCAAAAAATAAATCCTTTTATCTTTGATAATTTTTTTTGCGTATTTTTAATATAAATAAGTGTTACAAAATGTTACACATAAAAATGTCAAATATAAAGATTTTTAAAAAAATATTCTGCTTTTTTTATCCTATTGAATATATTTTTGTTTAAAATAGCATACCTAGGAAAGCTTTCGGAGATATAATACCAGTTCTTTTAGCAACTACGATTGCTATCCCTGTTTCAAGAAAAGGTACTGTAAAATCAACAGCTTTTTGTCTGTCAGAGTTAATTTTTATAGATGTTACCACTATGTCTGCTTTATTACTAAGAATCTCTGCTATCAAACCATTCCATGTACCATTAGCCTGAAATAAAGACAAATAAAATGTAACAAAGCCATTGTAAATACACTAAAACAATTCATCATAATTATAATTAAATCATTTTAAAATCTCTCTCTGTTTAAATTGGTTCTGTGAATTACACTGGTCAGTGAAAGTTTTTGTTCCCATAAACACTCATTTGGTTTTGTGTTATTCGGGTGAGGGCATTTCAAATCTCAAATTTGTTTTGATCCAAAAGCTACAGATGTTTTCACAATATTTTTAAATATGTATACTTTTGTGTGATTGTGCAAGTTAATAAGATTGCATTAGTTTATAAACATACAAGTATACTTATTTGTTCACTTAAAAACAAAGCAGACAGTTGTGTGTGTTTTAGTTTCACTAAAATGTTTTGACTTTTCACAAATCAAACAAATTAGAAATAATAAAATAAATAATTTGTTTGTTTGTTCATAAATAAATAATTCAGAGAAAAGGGTGAGCTTAACTTATACAATCAGTGAGACATTTTTCCCCAGTAGTTTTAATTTAATAAAATTTTCTTACATTCTTCTCAAAAATTTGTGAAATAGATATTTCACAATGATATTTTTAATTTTATATATTTTTTGTCTGAATGTGCAAAATAATAAGAATGTATAAGTTTAGATACATACAAGTATACTTATTTATTCATTAAAAAAAGGCAAAGAGTTGTAGTTTTTTGGGTTTTATTAATATGCATTGACTTTTCACAAATGAAACAAATAAGAAATAATGAAATAAATAATTAATTAATTTGTTTATTTGTTCATAAATAAATGATTTAGAGAAAAGGGTGAGCCTAATTAATTTAATCTGGTAGATGTTTTTCACCGAGTAATTTTTATATAGTAAAATTTTCTTATATTCTTCTCAGAAAATTAGCTATAGTTTTGAGAATTAAAAAAAAAGTTACGATTATTTAGATAAATTTTTTTTTTTACCAAAAACTTCAAGTATTATAGAACACAAAACAAAATATATTAGCATATTATCGGAAGGAAATTTACGAGGTTGCAAAAAGAATAAGAACTTGAAAATGTAATTGAATAGTTCTGCGAATCACTCGTGGTCAGGCAATTCAAAATGGAAATACACAATGACGTTAAGATGATATTTCAGATACAGAGATATTTTAAAACGCTTAATTTTGGCTATGTACCCGACAGAAATATACGCAGAAGAGCCAATACATTATGACCATCCTCCATTAATAACAATGGGCTCGCCAAGGTTTTCATGGTTTCTCGCCTAGGATCAATGGATTCATGGGGCACATTAGGACCCATAATTCTCATAGAATAATCCCTGACGTCTGTAAGCTGCTTGAACATAGTTCACCCATTCATGGCAACAGTTTTTCTTGCTGGAGATGGTGTTTTCCAACAGGATAATGCACCATGTCATAAGGGTCGAATCGTCAAAGATTGGTTCGAGGAACATTCCAGCGACTTTCAAGTCATGTCTTGGCCCCCAAATTCACCTGACCTTAATCCAATAGAGCATTTGTGGTCCTACTTGGAAAAAAAGTTAGTGCTGACACGCTACCCCCTCGCAATGTGTGGGAATTGCAGGATCAGTTGGTGAGCTCTTGGTACCAGATACCTCCAACTACCTATCAGCACCTTGTGGAATCAATGCCATGGTGGGTGCTAGCAGCTTGAGGGCTAAAGGTGGTCCTACATGTTATTAACAGGGTGGTCATAATGTAATGGCTCTTCGGTGTATGTTCGACATCCCTATCCTCGTCGTAAAGGCTTTTAAGATATCAACGGTATTTCAGATAATCATTGGTGATCTAAATATATTTTATAAAGATATCTATCATAAAAGTTACATCTTCATTTAAGTCGTTATTGCTTATTAATTAAAAAAATATATACATATACTGATGAAATTGATAAATATATTATTCCAAATCTATGCTTACGCATATGTATTATTGAAATTGTATTAATTGTCGAATGAATAAACTAAAAACTAAAATAAAAGACGCTGAGACATAACTATATTTAATCAAAAACATGTTTTTATAAAGCTTGACGACATTCGTTAAATATTGTAATTTATTCACACATATTTATTAAAATAAGTATAAATAAGCAGACGACTTAAGAAATGTCGCATTTTATAATTAAAGAAAGAAAAGGATATCGAATCAAAATAAGGGAAAATCGTGAATGGAGCTTACGCTACGCTAAGTCAAGTTCTTTTTAAGTTTATCATATTCAGGCATTAATCTGTTTATTTGAGTATTTTTTTCAGTGTCTCAAAATTATTTTTGTACAGTAATTAATTTTAATATTTCTCAGTTTTTACTAAATGAAATAATTGAAATGCAATAGATTAAATAAATACGTAGATTAATATGGTATAAAAAATTTATGTCTCATAATTCAAAATGCTTTCGCCATTACTAAATGAAATAGTAAAACTAATGAATACCTATTAAAATTATTAATTATAAATAATATTTGGGTAAAAAATTTTCTTCAGATTGTGCAAGCTTATTTTAAATTGAGCAATTAATTTTAAATATATGACAGAAAATGCAAAAATTGAGATTAATATTAAGAGAACCAAATTTACATTCACCCTCCTGGCTTAACAATTAGGACCATGGCTTACTGATTGAGGCTACTTAAAAGTTAAGGGTCATAAATTCAAATTTGTATAAAAAAATATATGTTTATTCAGAAAAAGTGCATTTTTGTCTCTTATTTCGTTACTTAAATAAAATTTAGTACTAATTAATTAGCATAATTGTGGTCACCCTAGGAAACAATTAAAATTCACTCTTAATTCGTAAGAATCCCATCAGTAGAACGAATGTAATCCTTTTTAATTTTAAGCACTGTACAGTGCGCAAAAAAAAGCAGACCACCTTGAATAACTTTTGATCTAATGATCATTTCTTCACGTTCTAACTGAATGGTTCGAGGGGCTGACCTCAAATATTGTAATTAATTAGTGAAGATGTTATTTTAAAGTAACGAAATCAGACACAAAAGCACAACGGATTTGGTTTTCTGGACCCCAAAATATAAAGGGTCACAATCTGGGAAATATGGTCCCTCTAGTTTGGTCAGGAGAGCAATGAAGCTTAGACCCCCTAATGATAGTTTAACTTATTTTAATTTTCCTTTAATTAACGTTATGGTGAATTAGATAGACAAACTGTTGCCGCTTTTTATTGACGTAACTTCAGAAAGAAAATTCTAACATTGTAAAAAGGTCAGATTCTACTTTATAGCAGAGTAATTAAATTAATTGATTCTTTAATATTATTAATTAAAATGAGATCACATGGAAATATTGTCCGGATCTCAAATATTAAATCAAAAGCTTTTTGCTAATTATAAATTGAATCATGCGTTTTTTATTTGTGACACTAATTAAAATCAAATACATGTACCCTTCACTTTTATTTCCTCAATAGTTGAAAAGAGCTTAATATCAAAATGAATTTCGTGCATAAACGAATTTTATGATAAAAGCCCAAGTTTTCTAGACATAAATCGAGACTAATTAATGATGTTATTCAAATTTTACGCAACTCCAGAGAATTATTAATTAGTTATGGATATTATGATACAGATATTTTAATTAATTGCATTCAATATGTAAAGATGAAATGCTAAAACATAATTTTAATTTGCGTTCAATTACTTTAGTTAAATTTATAAATGAATTCCTATAAAATGCTTTTCGATGATATTAATTAGATATTACTTTCACAAGAAATTAAATTTTAATTCAGATTTTTATTTCCTCTGTTCTTTTTCCTACAATGGCTTTATTGAAAACAAAGATTCATGATGATATTTATTATACCAATGTAACATTAAATTCTCCTCTTAATTTTTATTTATACAAAAAATTATTCAGTATGAATAAATCAGAATTATATTTCAAAATATGAGCAATTTATTATTTTGAGAACTAAATAAATTTCATCAAAATATTAAACCTAAAACTAAATGAAATGCTATCAGCATTTTTACATTGAATGTTAATGTGATGTGCAATGTGCATTTGTTTTACTTAAAGTAAATGATGAAACAAGAACTTTATATATAAATTATGCACGCCTTTCATCTTTATAATCCTATAGTTATTTATTTAATATACCAGTATTGTTGTATAATTACTTAATAATACATGTAAATAATGTGTGCAAAATGTTTTTAACTTTTATAACTAAATGCAAATTGCTTTTGCATTTCTGCTTCATTAAGAAGAAATGTATGCTTAAGGAATTTATTTAAATAAAAGTGAATCTGGGAGTGTGTGCCAGTTATAGACTCCTGAGCCATTCGACCGAAAGTCATGAAATTTGGCATACAGATAATTCGAAGCATGGATCATAGTCGACATCAAAACATTCTACAACAAATTGTTCGAACGAAAACGAGCAAAAAACGATCGGTAAAGTCTTAGTCATTGTTTTAAATTTAACTATAGACAATTCAAATTATCAAATATTTTGAAGATATCATCAATGACATGTGTTTGCTTACAGCTCTACTTGATCAGAAAAAGTTAATTGTACCTATTTCGATATTTAATTATTTTTTAACCGCTATGTCAAGTTAATTTAATGAGCAAGCATTCGTGAATTATATCTCCATATCACGTGTTTATTTTGTTTATAGTAGTTCTTTTAAAATGTGTTTCCATTAAATTAAATAGTTTAAAATCTACAGCAATTGAAAAGGAAAGAAAATTAGTTATGTATTCAAAGGTAAAATTTATAGAAAAGTGGTTAGTAATTCGCTTAGGAGAAACGTGATACTATTTTAAAATAACCAAACTCTTATTGACGGCCATGTTTCTTAACTAATTTAGGTGATGCATGCATACTTAAATAAAAGACATAAGCTATGAACTAAAAGGCATAATTCAAGGAGTAAAGGCACTTATCCGCAAAAGGTTTTCTGACTATTATTGACGACAAGGATATTTAATTAATGTTGATAATCTGTATTTATTGAAATAAAAAAATAACCTATCCGCTTAAAAGCAAAGCTAATGGAGTAAAAATATTTATTCGCTCTAGGAATATTATTATTCGTCATATTATTGTTGACAACAATGCTTAAATAATTTTGGTAATTACTACTGGATCTATGGTAATTGATGCAGTTCTTATAAAAACTCGTCAACGGTTTTTCCGTAGTTTCAGAAAATATTTTTCCAGTGATAGCAAAGATAGTGCAATAGCAGTTTTAGAATTAAAATAACTTTTCCATCACTACTTATAAATATTTAAACAGTAAATATAGGTATGATATAGAAATGGCAATGCTCCAAAGTCACTATAAAGGTTTTCAAAGAATTCTATTTTGTTTAAAATTTTGGCTTTAATTTGATGAATTTCATCTTCAATGGCAATTCTCCAACAAAATTACAAGTTCCTAATTTATTGTAAAGCGTTAGATATTTATGGCTTTTTTTTTTAAAAAAAAAGGGGGGGATTTTTAATTTTTTTTCTTTACGCAAAATACGTAAAATATATGTTATTGCACAATAGGGTCCTTTGTTTTTAAACTTTTATTTCGAAGTAAAGTAAACATCAGTTAAATATTTCAAATATATAGATATTTTTTATATCTAATACTATCTTTTGTGAGAAGTATACCGCAAAAAGAATTGTGTATCTTAACTCCAAAAATTGTCGAAAATACTCTTCACCAATGTGGTGTTCCACTACAGTAAGAATGTTCTATTACACTACTCACTGTAAAGTAGCCGCCACCATTTTTTGCATTCAGCTGCTCTGAAATTATTAATTATAGTAAAATAAGAGACACATAAGATTCCGTAAATGTATTATTAAGATACAATATAAATTAAGATTCATTAATTTAGAATGATTTACACACTAATTTTCAAAATAAATAAATTTGAAAATCAATCTTACAAGTACTGAGTGAAGATAAAGACGAACTTGAAAAAAGGCTGAACAAAATAAAAGCTGATCGAAATTCTACACGTTAAAACCAATTCGAACAGTTCACAGAGATTTAAGTAAAATATTTTTATCCCTATAGCACAATTTAAAATATACATACCTATTTTAACGACGAAAAACAAATGATTTAATTAAGTCAAAACAAATTACTATCAATAGTAAAGTCTCGCCGACTTATTCTCAATTTCAAATGCCAATTTCAAGTGATAAGAAAAGCGTGCCAACATATCTGTGTTTTCAGAGGAGAAAGTAATTCTCGTTTTGTGTGAATGATCAAGATTTTTGGATAGGCTTATTCTATGATAGTTAAGCGTTTAGATTTGATTTCAGTACAACTGCAAGATTTTGCTCATTCGGCTAGTGATGTTATGAAAGCAATTCAGAATTCACCACGTTAAGACTAGAGATCCTCAAATACTCCTGCAAAACAAACTATATGTAGAATTGGTTTAACTAATGAAACAACACTATTTTGGCTAATTTGCCCCTAAATTGGATTTTGATTGTAGTGAGAATTCCGAGCAGTTTGCAGTACAGCTAAGTTGGTCTCACGTAAAAATTATTTTAAATTGTTTCATTGTTTTAATTGTTTTAAATTGTTTTGATTGTTTTAAATTGTTTTAATTGTTTTAAATTGTTTAATTGTTTCAATTGTTTTAAATTGTTTTAATTGTTTTAAATTGTTTTAATTGTTTTAAATTGTTTTAATAGTTTTAAATTGTTTTAAATTGTTTTAAATTTTTTTAAATTGTTTTAAATTGTTTTAAATTGTTTTAAATTGTTTTAAACTGTTTTCAATTATTTTCAATTGTTTTAAATTGTTTCAAACTGTTTTCAATTGTTTTCAATTGCTTTAATTGTTTTAAATTTATTTTAAATAAATTTTTATTTTTTAATTAAAAGTAGTTAATTAGACTGATGATGCCTTTTCTACTCGAATAGATTCAATTCCGCTTCCCAAGATACTGTCGACAAATTTAAATTTGTCTATAAGCCCTTCGTTTGTTTTTTTCAGTCTGTCCTCAGAACTGGTGGTACTGGGATAAAAACTTCTGTGTTTATTACTGTACAACCTGTAGTAGCTATACTATTATCCCAGCACAAACACAGTTTACTCACATCAGTTCATCTTGGTAGCCTGAAATCTTGCTTTATTCATATGAATGCTGATTTCCTTTGTTAACGACTTTAGTTCCTCATCACCTCCCCCGAGTACGAAAAAACGCATCTTACTCTGATTAGTCCTCTCTCGGTCGCTTTGGTTCTTCTTGCTCTGTTTATTAGCTTTAATTTTCTATCTCGGCTAGTGTGGTTTTTTCTAATTTCTCTCTCCTTTATTTTTCCATTTTTCGTTGGAAACTTTTCTTTTTAAATTGTAAATCCCTTTTGTTTCTTTTCATTTACGTCTGGCGAGTTTTGAAAGTGGGTGCCCACTTTTGAATACTAAAAACATATTGATTGTTCTATTATTCTTATTAACTTATTTTCGAAACGAATTATGTTAGCTTTCAATCAGGTAAACACTTTAGTACTTTGAAAAGGAATAACTTCTATGTAATTTTTCTCTCCAAAGTTCAGTGGTGGAGTGCAGATTACAAACCTCGTCTCGTCAAAAGCTTTAAATCTTATTCGCCACATCCTGAAAGACAGCAAGTCAAAAATCAATCATTCTAGAGCGAAGAATATTTCCTGGGTGGGCGAAGTATGTATTTGTCTGCATGAACTATGTCGTGATATTTATTTCCTTGTCAAATATTTAGACGTGATGAGATCATCAATTTTGAAAGTATTCTGCACAACAGTGCATGTTTGGGCTCTTATTAAGATAAAAATATCAATTCCCCATTCCTTCAACGAGATATATTCAAAACTATTTTCCTTTGAAATGCTTCCAGTAGTACCATAATGTTAATTAAATGTGCCTCACTTTAGCTGGTATGAGTTTAGAAAACTCAATAACAAAATGAGTGTATTGTTTCAGTTATTTAAAGATATCCTGTAAAAACTGTGGTGCTTTATCTCTTCGAATAAAACGTCGAACAACCAAACGATTGAGTGAAGAAAAAATTTATTCCGGTTTAACACCAAATCCAGCTTTTATATACGATTTAAAGAGCGTAATTTAAATATCAACCACTTTTACTTTGTGAGTTCATCTTTAGCCTATTGAGTGAAGTCTTCGCATTGAAAATTTGCGTTCCATTTTAATTTTCTGAGGAGGCATTCTAAGGGATATTTGTCTTGCAGTTTGAAGATAAAATGTCAGTTGTTAACGCAAGTGGTACTTCCTAACAACGAAAAATTGTCTTGAATTTAACGTCATCCCTAGATGCAATGTTTTTCGCGTGATGAGTTCATAGCTGGTCAATTAACTAAAGTCCTTGCATTGGAAATTTGAGTTACACTTTAACTTCCAGAAGGGACATCCTAAAAGATATTTGTCTTGCATTATGAACATTAAAAAACAGTTTTTAACGCAAGTGGTACTTCCTAACACAAAACTATGTGTTAAAATTAAAGGAAGTTTCAGTATTTTTAGTGGAAATTCAAAATTTTGAGGCAATACTTCTCACAGAAGATATTCTTTGACTTGAAAATAAATTTACATCTGTAATGTTCCTATGAAAAGGACGCTTTTTTCGGGTAATATACTTTGCTTAGAATGAAAGTTTAAAAACGAAGCACTCTATGGCGTGTCAGAATAATAAATATAATTTAAATTAAATGATTACTTACTGTTATTACACCCCATGCTCCATCTTCTACTTGGTATAAATCATATGTAAATTTGAGATCATCTGAAAATTTTTGCAGAAGATCAATGCAAAATCCTGAACAGCATTTATAAAAATCTGGATTTCTTACAGCAACTGAGTGGTTTATTCTAAAACAAAAGAGTTCTTCAGAATGTATCTTTTAAACGCTTCACGGTTCACAAAAAAATGAAGTATTATTAATACATTTTTAATGAGAACCAAAACTTAAGCAATATTTTTCAAATGAGTATCATGACTTTTGCAATAATTTAGGTGTGAGAATCAAAACTTTTTCACTGGGCAACTAAAAACTCTTTTGTATTGTTCTCAATTTTTTTTAATTTTTCTGCATAGCACATTAGTAGCACATTTTTTTTTAAAATTTTACCACATAGCCATTTCCACATTTAAATTTTTTTTAAATTTTTCCACATTTAATTTAATGAAAATTAAATTATTTATTAAGTGTTGCTTGATAAATTAGTTTCTATAAACAAAAATTATGTTTGTTAAACGAAAAAATAAATGGGATTATAAGGGGTTTATGGGTTGGGGATATGGGTTTTAAATTCGTACAACTACTACTTTTTCGTTAGCATTAAGTTACGCTTGCAAAATTATAAAATGCTTGTTAAAATGTAATTTTTACAATTTATCTACGTGCAGTCTCTTTGAGCTTAAAAAACTTTGTAAAATGTTACAGCTGTTTGATTAAACAGGCTACTCAAATTAGCCTATTTAATTTATTTGCGTTTTGAGGAATACAGCAAAATCATATTTTGCTTTTTTAGCTCTTATTTTAAAATTCAGTCCATGTTACTTTAATTTTCATATTTTAGTTCAAACCGTTTTGTGTCCTTACTAAGGAATCTAGTTTTTTTCTTATAACTCTCAAAATCTCACGGTTGCCTAGCTATCATTTCTGAACAGCAAACTGATTATTTCATCAAAATTATTAAAACTTTTAAATTAAATGTTCCAAATAAAAATTTATTCAAATAAACGTAAAGGTTCTCTTCAAGTTGCATTCCTTTGCTAAATGAGATATTTAAAATAAAAAATAATAATAAAAAATCCCCCAAGATAAAAATTACTCTCTAGAATGCAAGATGCCTGAAAAAATTAAAAAATTGAGTAATTGTAAATTAATTTAAAACGGAAAAAAGAAATAAAAAAGGAAATAAGCTTACAACGGAAAGCAAAATAAAGAATGTTAAGAGTAGATATACTAATAAAACAGTTAACAAAATTGCAAAATGAAGCTAGGGTCAGATTTGATCTGGCATAGTAAGTTCAGTAAAAACGATAAAAAAAAAATTAAAACTAATGATTTGATCTTTATTTGACAGAGAGGTTAAATTATTCATCCAGAATAAGAAATAAAATTAAATAAATAGAAAAAACATTAATTCAATAATAAAGTAAACTTAAATTTATTTGCTTAAATCATTAAAAAGAAAAACTTAACAACATATTAATGAAACTAATTTAAAAGTAAATTAAAACTTAACTCAATAGAGGTTAAAAACATAAATAGAGGGTCCTTTTACGGCTCGTTCTTACTGCAGTACTGAAGTGAGTTTGATTTGTAAGTTACCCTTTGCACGGCCTGAAATTATATGTGTGCAAAGTAATAATATCATATTGTATAATTTAAAATTTAGAATTAATAAGACTTAGTATTTAATTATACAATTTTTATAATTTTGGAAAATAAAACTTTTCTTTGAAAAAACCAAACATGTTTTGCCCGATCGGCACAGATTCTTAGCCACGGAAGTGGATTAATCCGAATTGGATTTCTACAATAAGTTTTTAGTAAATTTATTATTAATAATAACATACAATTCACTCAATGATTTTATAAAGAACTTAATTACATTAGTTGGGTATCTGCTTTTTTGACAAACTTTGAAAGAGTTTGTCTATTTTTTTTTATTCTAAATAAACATGACTACGGATTCTTTTAATTCTATTCATTTGATAAAAAATGGTATTTAAATGAATAAAGGAATTAAATGAAAACATTAGAAATAGATTAAAATTGAAATAATTTCTTTTATTGAATAACACAACAATGCCGATATTTTCTTATTTTTAATATCTTATTCCAAAACATCAAACCTTATATTATTATCATGATTTGGAAGCAAGATTTATTCCTCAGGGTAAATATTTTTTTAACAAAATTGTGTAATCTTGAAAATTAAAGACAATTAAATCAGCTATAAATCTAAAAAAAATATTTAATGCTTAGAGTAAAATTTCTTTCATAATAGTGTAAAAGTGAAATAGCTAAAAGTCTTTGATTTAAAAAATGATCCTCACGATATTCCATCATATGAATAAAAGTAAGTCTTGCATTGTAATGATAAATATAATTAGAATTTCCCAATACTCAAAATGGCAACTAAGGATTATTTTAAAATCAAAGTGATAACTGTAAAGAATATCTTTTAGTTTAGACAGGGAAATGCTATTGAAGAGATCCTGGAAATTAAAAGTTGCATTAGAATTAGTTTCATTTTGTTTAATAAATTCTAAAATTGGTTGATTATTAGTGATAATCCAAGAAAAATCTTTCTTTAATAATATTGATAATAATTTCATTTAAGTAGTTGAAGAAATTGGTGCCAGGATCAGTTGGGTAAGTTTAAGACCCACTTGTGATTGTTCTGAATTTAATAGGAATTTTATGAAAGTTTAGAGTGATAATTAAGAAAGGAAATTGTATGTTGAAAATTTAACCTCTTATATAATGCTAAAAGTTCTTAATGATAATAATAATATTTAAATTACTAAGCTTAAAATTTCTACTATTTTGTAACTCCTAATTCAATAGTTTAACATAATTTTTCTTACAGATTATTGCAAAATTATTGTTATCTTTGTCCACTGGGGAAATTACAGTTTTTTTACAGTTGCTTTATTGATCGATCAATTTTAGAAAGAGTCAAGTTTTCCTGATTATTGAAAACAAAGTTTTTAAAATGATACAAAACATCCCATTTCCTTTTTTTAACCTACCTGAAGGTAATGAGAATCTATTTGATAATTTTAAACAAAAATTATTGAAATCATAAAAAAGTATTTCGGAAATTTATTATTTGATATATGATAAATGGGTCTAAATTTTGTACCTTTTATAATTAAATTCCAAAGTTCTAAGTTTTCTATAATATTTAAAATACCAGTAATAATATGTTTATGATGTTTATCAAAAAATTTAAAATTTTTCTCTTCTTCATAGTGACATTCATAATCGGATACATTGATATATTAATTTTCCCAAAATTTTTGCTAATATCATTATAATTGAAAATAGTTCGATCAATAGATTTGTTACATTAAAATCTTTCAATTATGTTAAAGTCTTTTAATGGAAACATTTTTTAAAAATTTTCAAAAATATTATGAAATTTGATCTTCTCGAAAGTAGGGTTTTGAAAGTCGATTAAGAAATATAAATTACTTAAATTTTTCATTTCATTTTGTGAAATTTATTTTAGCTTTTACAATTTCTTATCCTTTTTTACTTCGTTGTGCTATATATATATATATATATATGTANTACTACATAATGTTGAAGATATTTTATCACAAAAATTCCGTGAACCTTTTTTTTTTGTATATTTATATCTTTTTTCATAGTTAATTTCTTGAGATTTTATGACTGATTTAACTTGCTTTAAACCAGACACTCTTGCTTGCCAACTTCAATATATATAAATAATAACAGGGCTACATCCTTGTTATCATTGTTGTATTCAGCTTGAATAAGTCAGTCGTAAACCATATACGTTTTCAAAAGGTTTATTCAAAGGCAGGCTGGTGGTTATAACAGTTCACATCCACACTCCACAAGGGAATGGCTGTGGACAAAACTCCGGATGGTTCCATGAGATCTTACAGGGAACACATTATTCAGCAAGAGACATGCGAAAACCATCACTCCCGCATTAAATAATAATAGAAAATAAGTAAAAAGGCTCAGTCTTGTAACCTTATGCATTAAGGAAAATCATTTAATGTTTCCTAATATGGAAGTGAAGGAGGAACAAGATTCTAAAAAACTCCTCCTTTGAAATATAAATCTAATTATAATTCGATGGTATGTTTTCTGCCTTGATTTAACAAATTAGAATATCTCTACGCTTATTCTTTAAGAAAGACATTTTATGAAAACAAAAGAGTTTTAATGCTTTTATTAATACAAAAGTATTTATAATTTTTGTATTACATATATATATATATATACAATCATTCATTCACTCCAGACTAAAAAAATGTATTATGATAGCTATTGCTTGCTAAAATGCCTTTAAGCGATTATTAAAACAACGAGAAAGTTACATCCAAATAATATGTATTATTTAATAATAAAGTCGAATCAAACACTTTCCTTCCGCGAATAAAGAATTTATTTTTAACTCATTTTTATTGATCTTTAAATCATTTATTCAAAAACTAAATGCATCAACACTCAATCTATTTGAATAAATCCAATCATTCCGTTTAATATATTGCCGTTTCTAATAAACTGGTATTCATTGGCATGAAAAGTTACAACTCGTCTTTATGACTTTCTGTTATATTATACTTTTCCAGAGGCATAATACCATGCATTTAAATTTATTTTTCTTTATATATCAGACGAAGACATTTAAATTGCTTTTTCAAGCAATGGAGAAGCATATTTTTCAACTCTCTGCTTTTTCAAGATTCATTTATTCAAGAAGTAATCTTTTATTCGGTTCCAGAGCTGAAAGTATTAAAAATTGTGCCTTTGATTGTAGCACAGTTTAGTAATTTATTATATCCTGTGTAACTAATGTTGTAGAAATATTATTTATAAGATGAAACTTTTTTATAGAGCTTTTAATTAATTTTCTATTTTCTAGAAAACTGGTATTATTATCTTCTTCGTCAAAAATATTTTTCTTTAGGATTCCCAGAAGCTTCATCTTCCGTTCTGAAATAACTTTTGAAACTGAAATAACTTTTTAAACTGAAATAGCTTTTCTCCTAAATATGAAAGCAGGAAGTTTTGCCCCATTTCAAATATTTTCATTTGAAGAAATAGAAGTAATAATCTTCAATTTTATTTCGAAACATAGGATTAAACCTA